ATTTGAAACATAAAACCGAACTTTTACAATAAGTTATATATTTCTTTCTCTTTCTTTCCAATTCCTGCAAAGAAGAACTAACCCCMATTTGATATCTTCCATCATTCGATGATGCTGAGAAATTCACTTTTGTGCCACTTGCTTCAACTAGAAAATATAGAAGTACATAGATGCTCACACGATCACTTTTCACGTAACAAAAATCATCTTAGTTACTACCGGGACCACCAGTMGACGATAGTAGGAACTTAACACGATGACGATACAAACTATTAAAGAATACTGTATTATTTGATAGTATATGATAGCATAGTTCTATTATAATAAAATTTAAAATAAATATATTTAATTTTTAGTGTATAAACATGTGTGTGTGCCTTCAGAAATGCACATATATATATATTAAAATGAAACAATTTAAGACACTTAAATAAAAAAGAATCTAGAAGGTATGATGACAAATCCAACGATGATCACCTGTAACAAGAAGAAAACTATATTAGTCACAGTCAAGAGATACAACTGCCTGACATACAAATCGTCCAGTTCGCAGAGATGCACTTTTCAATTGAATTTTTTATTTATTTTTATCAAATCTCTATTTACCGTTGTAATGAAATTAAATTTAAACGCGTGATTTTACATTTACATAAAATATATAAAAATAAAGAAATAGGAAAAGTACAAATATTAAGTTGCTACAAAAAATATAATATCTATTAATTATTATGAAATACTTTTAAGCTGCATTATATAGGAAAGAAAAATTGCAAATTTAATAAAATACGATAAAAATGACAAATTTTAAAGACGAAACAAGAAAAAAGAAATTACAGTAATATTTACCGAACGTTATGTAAGCTTGAAAATTTAATAATACGAAGATATTAATATTTTTGACTCTAACTAACACATATGCACCTTCTGAACGATATAGTCACGAATTTGGTGTCCCAAGGAGATGGAATGGTTCATCATCTCCAATTACAACTACAAATTAATGACGAGCAAAAAAGTAATACAACAAAATATGACTAGAGAGCTATTCTCGAAAAGTTCAAACTTGCTGTTGAACCTTTGAAAATAACTCAATAGTCTAGTAGTTGCCCACTTGATACCACAAATTTGTGGGGGCCTCTTCTTTCTTCATCCCCTAAACGCTGCTGTGAGGCTTTTTTAAACATTTACTCGAATGCCTCAACAGATATTTGATCTAATCGATGAACCTATTATTAACACTTTGCATTTAAACAACTAAATAATATCTAACAAAAGCAAAAACTTTGTAATACATCTTATGGTCTTACTTTTTTACTCGACCACTTTTATCTTTTATCTTTATTCTTCAGTTCAGGATAGGTTTTCTTGTCTCATCGGTTAAATTCTTTTAAATAATAGTGCAATGAATTAATGCACTTTCTTTTTTATTACGTGTTTTGTTCGTGGTTAGTAGTGGTGAAACCGAGCATTAATTTACTCGTTTTCATCCAGAAAAGCATGTAATAAATGTCTYACATGCATTGCTTCGTACTTAGTTTACCTAATCGCGATTAATTTCGRTATATCGATACTTCGATATTATAAATAAATGAGCAAGAAGACAAACCAAATTCGCGAACGGATAGATTCTAACAATTAAGTGGTGGCCCCAAAGCCCAGTTCTTTTATTAAAACATTTCTTTTCTATATAATGCAGCTTAAAAGTATTTCATAATAATTAATAGATATTATATTTTTTGTAGCAACTTAATATTTGTACTTTTCCTATTTCTTTATTTTTATATATTTTATGTAAATGTAAAATCACGCGTTTAAATTTAATTTCATTACAACGGTAAATAGAGATTTGATAAAAATAAATAAAAAATTCAATTGAAAAGTGCATCTCTGCGAACTGGACGATTTGTATGTCAGGCAGTTGTATCTCTTGACTGTGACTAATATAGTTTTCTTCTTGTTACAGGTGATCATCGTTGGATTTGTCATCATACCTTCTGGATTCTTTTTTATTTAAGTGTCTTAAATTGTTTCATTTTGAAATATATATATAAATGCATTTCTGAAAGCACACACACACGTTTATACACCAAAAATTAAATGTATTTATTTTAAATTTTATTATAATAGAACTATACTATCATATACTATCAAATAATACAGTATTCTTTAATAATTTGTATCGTCATCGCGTTAAGTTCTTACTATCGTCTACTGGTGATCCCGATAATGACAAAAATGAATCTAATTTGAAAAAAAAAATGATCATGAGAGTTTCTATGTACTTCTATATTTTTGAGATACATTGCATTTTTTTTTATCATATGTACTCTCTGTCGGTAATATGCATCCCTATATTATTTTTCAATTGAATACTAACCTACAATTTGTGACGTAATATTACTATAACCTATATATTTAATCACTGTGATTTAAAAGGTTTGTTTTTGTATTATATATTTTATCGGTTAAACTGTAAATATATATTATATTTAACATGATTTGCATATTAATAATTTAAACATTTACGAATAGGAGGACTTTTGAAAAAAGATCTGAATAATATATATTAAGTAGAATCGTTTGATGGCTCTATAAACATACTGTTGTATTATATAAATTAAATATACTTTCTACTCTTTATTTTTTTTATACTTTTAGAGTAGTATTTTAAATATTAAAAAAAGTAAGTAAAAAGGGAAAAGTTATAAAACAAAGCGGTAATTAATTAAAGTTTACAAATTTTCCTGTATAATAAAATACAATTTGGTATTTTGTGGGAAAGGTAAACACCATGAAAGGACCTCCGCAGACCACCGAAGAGATGGCCATCATATTGGGTCGTCGTATGGTTAGAGAACGAGAACGTTTGATAGGTATGACAGATGAAGAACGTGCATGGCGTGCACAGTTCTTAAAGGACCAAATATTAGATCCTAGTGAACCCGTTATACCAACCAATTATTATAAAGAAAGGTATAACCCAATTAGAAGATTTTACAGAGCACCCTTGGATAAATTTGAAAATATGTTGGTTCCCTTAGTGGTAATTTGATATATTTCTATTATGTTAGCATTTATTTCTAAGCAAAACATATATAACAGAATTAATATCATTGTAGGGTAATATGTGGGCTGATGGAATACGTCATATTACAGCGAAAAGTATTATGGGAATAATTGGCATATACGTTACTTGGTACTATTTTAAATATAATAGACACGTAAGTTTTCTATTTGTATTGATATCTCGATATTGCAATGATTTTCCAATAACATGCATTTATTTTTTAATGGAGCACACTTATATTATTTGTTTTATCTCGATCTGCTTAGCGTTAAAATCGTATTATTTTATCTAGGATTGGACAAAATCTGGAGGCTGGAGAGTATCATTTTCACGTACTATACAGTTTCCAAGCGATCCAGGCTTCCCTAACACTTATATTAAAAGCAAAGGCAATGAATTTGCACAATATGGATTCGATAAATCACCCATATAAAATATAAATAATATTAGTGTATATATAGTTGTCTGATATAATAAATAAATGGAATGATAGTGATGAAAAATTGGACAATTTATTATATCAATACTATTTGTTCACGCTACAAACATTGTTAAGTATGTATTATTTTAGTAATATATGTTATTTTTATTTATTCATAATCTTAATTATTTTAACTTCACAATATCTTATTAATATTA